TTTTTGCATTCCAAGTAATACCAATCAAACTGCAGTCAGGTTGTTTTGATTAAATACTAATAACTTATTATTATAAATTATAAAGTTCATTGAAAGTATGTTTATATATATATATATTTTAGCAAAAGCAGATAACTCAAACAATCTTTTTTGTTGTTGTTGTTGTTGTAGGAGCAAAAGCAGGTAACTCCACGTTTCATGTTTCAGATTTAAATAAAACAAATAAATTGCTACATAATAAAACACTTGGTTAATCAACAAGCCTGTCAGATTGAAATTTTAAATGAATGTAAATCTTAATGTATCTTGCAGCACAGGGTGAAGTCAGTATACATTAACAACGATTTGAGACAAATATAAATGTAAATTTAATATAAAACCATGTAAATGACGATGTGGCCCGGCAGGATTTTTGAACAGGATCCTGAACTTCTGGACGCTGTAACGAATGTTATTATTGATGAAAAATTTCTTCTATTCAGTATCTGTTCAGTCATGTTTCTTCTTTTTTTCCATTTTGCTTTTGTGTCAACAGCAGCTAAATAACCCCCAAAAGCTCTTTTAAGAGCTCTTTCAACCTCGTTCAACCATTAAGCGTCTTTTTTCATGTAAGTATATTTTTGAGACACTTTAGTATTTGGGATTCAATTCTTTAAAGCTACATCATCAGCCATGTCAGTTTGAGATGTTTCCCTTATTATCTTAGCTGTCCATGTTAATGTTTATTTATCTGCCTTTACCAGTTCAAAATTGTGACTGATTGAAAATTATCTGCAAAGATGAGAAACATGGGCATAATTCATGCAGTTTCTTGTGTCACTATAATATTTTGCTAGTCAATAAATGAATAAATAAAAATCCATATGATCTTGTACCACAATTTGATTCATCAATAATTATTTTTCTTTGACTTCTGCACGTCTATAAATACAGACATAATATTTGATATTACAGTAGACAGTCATTTCTTATTTTACCAATTTTTCTTGTCTGAAAACAGATAATTGTCATTGTGGTGAGCAGGACGAGGCTGAGGGTGTGAGAGAATGGCGTGAGGCTGGTGGGTGATTGTTAATGAGCAACATGCAGGTGTCACTCATCAGTAATCACCGGCCTCCAGCTGTTCTCTCAAAGCCCTCAGCCTCGTCCTGCTCACCACAGTCATCATTTGCTGTAAGATGTTTATAAGCACATTCTTAGTTTCACTTTAGATTTTTTTAGATTATATTAGATTGATTTGCAGCATACATGCCTCATTCAACATTTTGGACTACTGTAGTGGTTAACTGTAATATAATCTTTTTATTGTTTCCTTTTTTAGATTTTGCATCATCCTCCACTGTGACTTTTTTTTTTTTTCTAACCATCCCTTATTTCAACTAAGGTAAGTTATCTTTTTTTAAGCATCACTTAAAGGTGTTAACAGTTGTCTGTAGTTATTTTCTCCTTAGTGCTTATGTACTTGTCATGGAAGCATAAATGAATTTATTATATTAAACAGAACTTTTAACAAGGCGAATTAGACTGATGACATGGTATACCTGTGTTGTTACACAAATAAAAGGTCTTTGGATTTTCCCCTTACTTTTAAAACGAATGCTTAATTCGTGGCTCATTATTATTATTATTATTATTATTATTATTAATGAAAACACATCAACAATAAAGATTGTAGAATGCTAAATTCGCTTATATCTAACATTAATAAAGCAAACTTTAAATGTAATATTAGCCCTAGAGCAGAAAAAGTTAATACATTTAAAGGCCGTGTTGCAGGTTAACCACCACTGTCGATTAATGGGTACATAAATCACTCAAGATATGTATATCATTTTTAAAATGTCTCAAAAACGGTCTTAAAGACCAGTTTTTTACATTTTTAGTATTAACAGGGGTTTTTTTTTACGCAATTGCTTGTGTGGGCGGTGCCGTCCCATGGAAACTGCATTGGAAAGCTTGTGCTGTAGGGAAGTGAATGCGTTTTGGTCGCTGGTCGAGGAGCTCACCCCGCGACCAGATATGACGTGCCTCACTATTGTCAATCTACCTACTATATATTTCTATTTATCTATCTAGCTGCTAGCTATCTATGCTAATGTTATGCTATCTGGCTGTCTGCCTTTCTCTCTCTATACTAGCCTGTCTGTCTGTCTGTCTGTCTGTCACTCTCAATGTTCTCAAGGCGGTTTTTGGTAAATTCTCTCCCCAAGGTGACATAATGCAATGCATTGTGGGGGAAAAGGAGAATCGTTGCAAACCGCTGTAAAATAGTACCTTTTTAAAACTACACTACACGGAAAGCCCACTAAAAAAAATCTAGTGCAGTTGTTTCACCCATACTGTCTATGGTTTCAGTCATAGACTGTAAAAAAAGATGGACAACGCCCCTTTCGCTCTGTTCCATTGGTCAGAAGTGAAGCCGCCAGTGTCCCGATATGGCGCTGGCATCTTGGGACTTAAATCTGCGCAGTCGTGAGCCGGAAGTAAAGCCGCTAAATCAAGGCCCCGCCCCCACTCTCGCTGAATCAATCGCAAGCACACGCTCCTGCACTTTTTAAATTAATTATAGAAATTTATATTTTGAATTTAAAGCTCCAATCTCCTCAGTCCTCCGATGATCCCGAAAAAAAAGTCTGTTGGTGCTTCAGTGACTACTTCGCTCAGAGAACCTGTCAATCACAGCTGTCAATCATGACCTCACACCACCACATCAAATAACTAACTAAAAACAAACTTATTTTAAAAACAAACTCTTGAACTTATTTCAGCATGATAAAAACTACAGTAAATGATAGAAACCACATTTGGAAAAACGATATTTGAAGTGTAATTTAATTTAGTTGGTCTAACGTAATGACCTATACTAGGACCGGCCACCGGGGGGCTTCGCTTTTCAGGGCTTGTGGTGCACGCTTGGTTTCAGCATGTATTTTTTTCTTTCTTTCAGATATTGTTTTTGCAATTTTCATTTTAAATGTCAGGATGTATACTGCTGCTGTTCTACCAAACTCTGGCTCCTTTGACCCATCTGTAAATACCTGTAATACAGAATAATACTCTTTACTTATATATTGTTTAATCACTATGTCATTTGATATGTTTATTTATTGATAGTAAATTATGACAGAATTTTTAGGTGAACTATTCCTTTAATTTATTAATTTGCTGTCCTAATCTGCTGTTTCTCTCTCATTATAGGGTAGTGAACATCCTGAGCTTGAACTCATTAGGAATATTCCTTGCATATTTTATTTGTGACTCAGTATATGGTTCACTAGTGATGAATTACAATGAACGCAGCAATCTTAGGAAAAGGGCCCTCAAAAGAGTTGACACTTTTCTTAAATCAGTGGATCATGAGGTGTATGACCATACTGATAATCTTAACAACTCTCCTGTTAGCATTCCTCTTGGTGGCATTCCCTTTGACTGCAGACCTTCAGATTTGAATCCTACTTGCATCTCTGTTAGTGAGAATACAAACAGCAGCTATGATTGTAGCAGTACTGGTGAAACAAACGATAAAAGTGATCTCAGAAGCAGCATTACTGACTGGGCACTTCGTTTTGGTGTATCTCTCATTGCACTTTCTGCTTTATTGGCAATTCTTAGAGTGCATTTACCATTCCTGCCAAAAGATGGAAGGTCACTGTTAAAGACGAAAACGGAGTACAATGTGGAGATGATTGCCGGTGGATCTTTCCACTATTTTGGTATTATCAATGCTTTCAGAAACACGTTGAGAAGTGTATGTTCTCGTTTTACAGATGGGCACACATTTAACATGCAGCTAAATTTTGACGGCCTCCCACTTTTCAAAAGTTCTTCAGTTCAACTTTGGCCTATTCTTGGCATGTTCAAAGGTCTATCTAAGAAACCTGTTGTTGTAGGTTTGTTTTGTGGGACCACTAAGCCAAAAAATCTGTCTGACTATCTCAGTCACTTAGTTTGTGAGTTGCAGAGTTTAAGAAGAGGTTTTGTTTTTGGTGGCAAGACTTTCTTTGTCAAGGTAACATCTATCATGTGTGACGCTCCAGCACGAGCCTTTATCAAAGGTATAAAATCTCACACAGGCTACTACGGCTGTGACAAATGTCAGCAGAAAGGTTCCTATGTGAAACACCGCATGACATTTCCTGAGAACAATGCCTCCTGTAGAACAGATGAAGCTTTTCGACTGGGATTAGATGAGGAACACCATCTAACACTCTGTCCTCTTCTAGAAACCGACATTGACATGGTAACTGGTTTTCCTCATGATTACATGCACCTTGTGTGTTTGGGTGTAGTGAGACGTCTAACGGATCTGTGGTGTGGTGCAGTGGGCCCCCTGCGTACAAGGCTTTCGAGCATTCAAGTCTTGGGTATCTCTGAGAGACTGGTAGCATTGAAGGAGTTCATTCCAGCAGAATTTGCCAGAAAGCCTAGGGCTCTCAGTGAGAGACTTCGTTGGAAGGCAACTGAATTCCGTCAACTGTTGTTGTACACAGGCCCGGTTGTTTTAAAGAGTGTGTTGCCTCGCCAGGTTTATGAGAACTTTATGCTGTTGTCTGTTGCCATCTACATTTTGGCAAATTCAAACTATTGTATCGAAATGAATGATTTGGCTCACTCCTTTTTGGTATCATTTGTTGAGCATTATGGCTTGTTGTATGGCAAAGAGATGGTGGTATACAACATTCATGGCTTGGTACATCTTGCTAGTGATGTAAAAGTGCATGGTCCTTTAGATGGCATATCTGGCTTCCCCTATGAAAACTTTCTTGGTGAGCTTAAGAGATTGGTAAGGAAGCCTCACAATCCACTTGCACAGATAATCCGCAGGTTGTCAGAACAAGAGGAAAGGAATTGTTATTCCACTGATGAAATATCACTAATGTGCCCCCATAAAAATGGACCTGTACCACAAACACTGACAGAAACAGTACATCAGTTCAGACAGCTTACTGTTGATGGTGTCATGCTGCGAATTTCGAGCAAAGATGATTGCATTGCTATTCATGGCAAAGTGATTTCAGTAAAAAACATAATTGCTTATGGGGGTAAAGAGTATGTTATGTTTCAAGAATATAGAGAGAAAGAGGCCTTATACACCTACCCTCTTGACTCCAGAAACATGGGCGTATTCATTGTGTCCAATTTGTCAACAGTGATGCACTTTACTGAGCTCACAAAGCCCTGGCAGAAGTGTGTGAGGTTGCCTCTGGGAGACAAATTTGCAGTCTTCCCTCTGACTCACACATCTTAATATCACCAATTAATGTACATAGTTCTTGAGAAGCAGTAACACCATTTCTGGATTAAATTGTGGGACATGCTTTGTAAGTGGCATTTATATGAATTAGATTTTTTATTTTTTGTATTAATCTAAATTAAGTGTAAAACTCTTTTTTTTCAGACAATGTATCATATCGTAATCTTTGAAACAACAAATGAAGTCGAGGTTGTCCCCCAAAATTGGGTAAGGGACAATATTTGTATGTGGCCTCCATACAAATATGAAGATAGAGTTAAAGCCATAAAATCAATGGTAAAGCCAGGACCATCTTGGACTCCCTTCAAAATCCGGATTATTTTTACTAGAGGTACATATATCCACAGCTTCCATGGGTCAGATTTACTAACAGGTTGCACCAGCATTACCCTCTTTTGGTGTCAGGATTTATTAAAGACACTAAAAAGGCGTGAACAGTTATTTTTGCAGCTGACATTGTTGCATAAGCGTTTGTAAGAGTTCCCTTTCAGACTCATGCAGAATCATTCAGATTAATTTAAATGAATCATGCAAGGCGATTTACTAAGGTTGATGCTAGTCAATTTATTGGTATTTGCACCATTATTTACCTCCCCCAAAAAGGAGATTGAGCCTATTTAGTAAATTTGGCCCTAAGATTCTTTTCTCATTTATTCATTTATTCTTTTAATGTATTTTTTAGTTTGCTTCACAGAAACTTTGTTGTTTATCTATTCAGAAACATATGAAGAAGCTCGCCAAAAACTACCAGAGGCAGAAATAAACACAGACCTTACAGATGTGGACTCGCCCCCCGTGAGAAGAAAAAGACACATGTAAATACAGGACATACAGAGCAGAGTATGGCTGCTGAATGAGGAGAATAAATTGAATAATCTGTTTTTTTTGTGTGTGTTTTTTTTTTTTTTTCATCAGTAAAAGGGCACGTTTTTTCGATGATAGTGAAACTGAGGATGAGGCAAACTTTCCACTTCCAGCAGCGCCAGAAGTGCAAATCAACCCCATCAGGAAATGTAAGATTGGCCAATTTGTGCAACAGTTATAGTTCTATTAATTTGTTTAATTAACACTAGGGCTGTCAGTTAAACGCGTTATTAACGGCGTTAACGCAAACCCATTTTAACGGCGTTAATTTTTTTTATCGCGAGTTTAGCGGTCTTTTTGGCCTAGCAAACCTTGTAGTTTTTTTCACATGCTTTTGCAACAGGGCGCGGCATGCGTTTTGTTGCTTCGTCGACCAAAGCGCAAGCGGATCTAGCTAGACCGGAAACAAAACAACAGTAACGCCACACACACTTGTTTAGGCTTGCGAGCCGGCCAAATAGTAGATTAACGTTAAGTTTTGAGTGGATGACGAGCGCGAGACGCCGAAATGGATGCCAACAAGATTCTGAATGTAAAGTTTACTTTTAAAAAGTTGCCAAATGGTCCCATTGATGAGACCAAAGTGATCTGTGTGTTTTGTCGTTGTGAACTGAGCTATCATCATCGCAGCACGTCCAGTCTGAAACACCACTTGATGATGGCCAAGCACACACACACACACACACACACACACACAAAGCTGATGCGAATTCTCCGCACCCTCATCAATATCAGGACCTCGTCAGTATTTCTTTCACCCTTTTATTGATGGACAGTGTTACATTGAGAGATTATTTGCTCCAAGTGAGAATCTTAGTGTGAAATTGAACACAGTATATGCCAATGTTGTTTTCAATAAAAAATATTTGCACAAAGCAAGCCGATCCACTTTTTCAGGTTGATAAGAGCATTAAAATGAGAAAAAATAATGGGACAAAAAGAAATCAAGAGACATTTAGAATAGATAAAAATGTGCGATTAATCGCTGTAACTATGACATTATTCGCGATTAAATATTTTAAGCGTTTGACAGAACTAACACGTTTGTTTTTTTGTGGATTAATTTAAGGAATACTATCATCAGTTCTGGAAATACAATTTACACAGTGTTTTCAAATACACAGTATTTGAAAACACAGGGCATACGAGTTACAGAGTAGATATGCTTGCCACCGCAGACACATAAAACATCAATTTGATATCAGTTAGACCTAAACTTGCCTCAAAGCTCCTCAACACTGACCTCTCCAATTTCTCCCACTTTTGTCCTGTTCAGGTACCAGCAGAGCAGGGAATTACTCCCAACCACTAGCCAGAGAGGAGGCAGACACTATGAATTGTGAGTATTTGAAAACACAGGGCATACGAGCTACAGAGTAGATATGCTTGCCACCGCACATAGATATATACACTAGATGTCGCCTTGGCTAAGGCAGTTCATTGGAACGAATGCGTCAATAGAGCCGCCATCATGGAACAGGGGAGCCCCTCTTTAATGCATAAACGTCAATGTAGGCAAAGGTCTAACGGAAATAAAATCACCATAAATTGCCATGAATGCGATTGTCTAGTTTTTTGGTTCGTTCCAATGGTCAGACATGTATTTATCATGGAGTCCAGAGAAAATTATTATTATTATTATTATTTTTTTTTTTTAAACATTCTTCCTAGTTCAGATTTCGTTCGTGTGAACATCCATACGCAGCACAAAAGTCAGAAAATCCATGAATTCGAAGTACAGGCGGAGATAGCAGCGTTACCTAGCTACTTCCTATGACAAGACCCCTGTTCCAAGATGGCGGCGGTTTTGACGCATGCTTAGAACCCCAAGGCGACATCTAATGTATATATCTATGGCCACCGCAAACAAATATAACATCAATTTGATATCAGTTAGACCTAAACTTGCCTCAAAGCTCCTCAACACTGACCTCTCCAATTTCTCCCAATTTTTTCCTGTTCAGGTACCAGCAGAGCAGGGAATTACGCCCAACCACTAGCCAGAGAGGAGGCAGACACTATGAATTGTGAGTATTTGAAAACACAGGGCATACGAGTTACAGAGTAGATATGCTTGCCACCGCAGACACATAAAACATCAATTTGATATCAGTTGGACCTAAACGTGCCTCAAAGCTCCTCAACACTGACCTCTCCAATTTTCCCAATTTTTTCCTGTTCAGCTACCAGCAGATTAGGGAATTACTCCCAACCACTAGCCAGAGAGGAGGCAGACACTATGAATTGTGAGTATTTGAAAACACAGGGCATACGAGTTACAGAGTAGATATGCTTGCCACCGCAGACACATAAAACATCAATTTGATATCAGTTGGACCTAAACGTGCCTCAAAGCTCCTCAACACTGACCTCTCCAATTTTCCCAATTTTTTCCTGTTCAGCTACCAGCAGATTAGGGAATTACTCCCAACCACTAGCCAGAGAGGAGGCAGACACTATGAATTGTGAGTATTTGAAAACACAGGGCATACGAGTTACAGAGTAGATATGCTTGCCACCGCAGACACATAAAACATCAATTTGATATCAGTTGGACCTAAACTTGCCTCAAAGCTCCTCAACACTGACCTCTCCATTTTTCCCAATTTTTTCCTGTTCAGGTACCAGCAGAGGAGGGAATTACTCCCAACCACTAGCCAGAGAGGAGGCAGACACTATGAATTGTGAGTATTTGAAAACACAGGGCATACGAGTTACAGAGTAGATATGCTTGCCACCGCACATAGATATATACACTAGATGTCGCCTTGGCTAAGGCAGTTCATTGGAACGAATGCGTCAATAGAGCCGCCATCATGGAACAGGGGAGCCCCTCTTTAATGCATAAACGTCAATGTAGGCAAAGGTCTAACGGAAATAAAATCACCATAAATTGCCATGAATGCGATTGTCTAGTTTTTTGGTTCGTTCCAATGGTCAGACATGTATTTATCATGGAGTCCAGAGAAAATTATTATTATTATTATTATTTTTTTTTTTTTTTTTTACATTCTTCCTAGTTCAGATTTCGTTCGTGTGAACATCCATACGCAGCACAAAAGTCAGAAAATCCATGAATTCGAAGTACAGGCGGAGATAGCAGCGTTACCTAGCTACTTCCTATGACAAGACCCCTGTTCCAAGATGGCGGCGGTTTTGACGCATGCTTAGAACCCCAAGGCGACATCTAATGTATATATCTATGGCCACCGCAAACAAATATAACATCAATTTGATATCAGTTAGACCTAAACTTGCCTCAAAGCTCCTCAACACTGACCTCCAATTTTTTCCTGTTCAGGTACCAGCAGAGCAGGGAATTACTCCCAACCACTAGCCAGAGAGGAGGCAGACACTATGAATTGTGAGTATTTGAAAACACAGGGCATACGAGTTACAGAGTAGATATGCTTGCCACCGCAGACACATAAAACATCAATTTGATATCAGTTAGACCTAAACTTGCCTCAAAGCTCCTCAACACTGACCTCTCCAATTTCTCCCACTTTTGTCCTGTTCAGCTACCAGCAGAGCAGGGAATTACTCCCAACCACTAGCCAGAGAGGAGGCAGACACTATGAATTGTGAGTATTTGAAAACACAGGACATGTAATAGTCCAGTCACTTTATGAAAAAAGTAGGACAAATTGCAACAGAAGCAAACCCAACTGATTTTGTATCCTCAATATGTCCTAGGTAAGGAGAAAAAAAAAAGGGGTGGTGGTGCTCGCTTTCGGGTTAAGCTTTCCGCGACTGCGCAACTGGGTTATAGGTTGCTGGGTTGAAATTGTATATGGTGTGTGTATTGTGTAAATATAATGCATTTAATACAAGATCTGGCAACTGGTCAACATTAGACAAGCATATTGATCCTATTATTCATAAAGGAGTTTGGACCATGCAAATTACGGGAGTTTCCCGGGAGAAATAACAAATCGGGAGGGGTCCTGGAGATTGGGCAAAAAAACGGGAGAAAAACGGGAGTGTTGACAGGTGTGACATATTGAGGATATGAAATCAGTTGAGTTTGCTTCAGTTGCAATTTGTCCTAGGTTGACCTCCGTTTTGGCTTAAAATGACTGGACTATAATGTTTTTTAGCTTAAAATATGTTTATATCTTTGTGTTTTGTGTTAATATCCAATGTTAGCCAAATTCAGGGGTGACACTATATTTTTGGCCTGTTTTGATGTCATCAGGGCGCCAAAAACAAATCCGCAGTAACCAAAGGAGGACATCAACACCTGTGAAACGGACATCAGTAACCCGTAAATTTACAATATAACCTTTTCTTCCCATTTAACCCATACCCATATTTTACCCATATAACATGTGCTAAAAGCTACTGCTAAACTTTGGCCTTTCCCACTAATTATCCTTTACAGCAAGGAATCGCACCCCACAATTTAGGCAAGGAGATGCAGAAGTCTTTAGTTGTAAGTATATACTGTGTCAGTTCACTAGCACGGCATTCAAATCTTACAGGTTTACCCATGTATCCAAAATACTGTTACACAATAAACTATTTAAGTTCTAAAACTGACTGTGTTTAACTCCTTAACCATTAGTTACCTTTTAAACCAAATTATGTACAAACAAATCTGCAGAGCCATAGAGTAAAAATAAGATTTTTACTTCCTTCTACTGTCATTTAACATGGTCAAACTAAGATCTTGTTGTGTTCCCCTTTTTAGCACCATCCCACACTGGTTTCAGTGAAGGTAGGTACTGACTTTTTTTTTTTTTTACACAGTGATATGCATTTTTTACTTTAATAGCTTTTTCTTTTTTCTAGCTTGGATACGCAAAATTCTTGCAAACCAAGAAATGATTAAAGAACAGATGGGCACATTGGTTAAATTGGTCTACGACCTCAAAAAATTATCAACTACAGAAGACAGCCCAACATTAAACACAGACTGTTTTCCACTGTCAAGTTTCCAACAACTTCAAGTCATTGAGGGACAGCTGCAGCAGGAAGACTACAAGACAGCTGTGGTAAGATTTCAATAGAAAAAAATTAACTCGCATCAATTAACTGTCAGTGTTTTCATATTTTGCTCATTGTGAATGGTACAGTAGGTAGTCAACCACATGTTTAAACCATATCCGTACTGGCTGGGCTGGTTCGACATGGAATGGTTAAGCAACAAGAAAGGTTTGGCCTGGTGAAGAAACTGCAATTGTATGCTTTCACTCACACTAACTGATTTGCTGAAATTAAAATGTGGATGGTGATCGTTAGCACTAACCAATGAGATTGCTGGTTGCGAACAAGTTCCTCTTACTGCTGAAAGAACTGAAATGAATGAAAATTAGCCCATGATTTACTCACCCTCAAGTCACCCTAGGTGTATATGACATTCTTCTTTAATACAATCTGAGTTATATTAAAAAATGTCCTGGCTCTTCCAAGCTTTATAATGGCAGTGAATGGCTGTATATTTTCCAAGTCCATTTTTTGAAGGCCCGTCTGCCGGAAGCCATTTATTCGATAAAGTTTTAAATATGGATATTTTTCTTACACAAACGCATCGCTTTGCTTCAAAAGGCCTTTATAAACCCCCAGAGCTGTATGGAGCACTTCAAAACAGAAACGGCTATTCACTCGTGTATTAAAACTTGGAAGAGCCAGGACTTTTTTGGAGGGTAAACTATCCCTTTAAAGGCTAAATAATTCCAAATGAACTTTTTTTTGACCGGTAAAAGCCCACACCGTTTTTGTACATTCTATTCAAAGGATGGTTTTTGGATGCTTGTTCCTTTATTTGTGCATACATTTATTTTTACAGATAAACACGTTAGCCTTGAGGGGAGGCACAACAGTCAAAGAAAGCGTATGGCGGATTCTCAGCTTCCTTCTTTCAAATGACATGGCCCGTCAGATTAACTGGAGGGGAATCAATGGAAAAGCTGCATTTAAAGACACCTCTCTAAAACCTGTAATCAGTGGTATGGCTTTCTGAAATAAACTGATTTTATTTATTTGTGTTGTTTGGTGTCCCTATAAATGTTAGATTTATAATAAATAACAATAATTATTTGCTTATTTACTGTTGGTCATATATGTGTCATTGTAGCTGCTGTCAGAAGAAACCGGTTAACTGCCACTGCAACAGACCAAGAGATTGAAAATTGGATCAAAAGATGGCTGCAGCTTTCCGCAGACAGGGATGGAGGCCGTCGGGCAAGACAAAAAAATTAAGATTGTTTCCTGGTTCTGACACTTGCTCACCCATTACCTTGTTCGCACTGCCTGTTCAATGGACTCCCCTTTTGCCCTGCTCTCTTTTTGAACTGTTGATCTGATTCACCACTTTGTTTTATTAAATTGTAATTCAGTTAAGAACTTGCTTTCTCCTGTTTCTGACACTCGCTTGACCTTGTTCCTAATATGTAGACCTTGGTCTAATGTTTTCGTTGGACTGCCTTCTGGTTTCTGGCAGTCCTCCCCTTCTGGAACCCTGCCTGTTTTACTTTATTTATTTATATAATATAATATGTATTTATTATATTAATTGTTTCCTATTTATATTTATAAATATGTATGTTTTCTTTGGACTGCCTTCTGGTTTCTGGCAATCCTCACCTTCTGGACCCCTGCCTATTTTTTATATATTTATTACATTTATATTATATAATATGTATTGTTTCCTGTTTTTGATTTATATTTATAAATATGTATGTTTTCTTTGGACTGCCTTCTGGTTTCTGGCAATCCTCACCTTCTGGACCCCTGCCTATTTTTTATATATTTATTACATTTATATTATATAATATGTATTGTTTCCTGTTTTTGATTTATATTTATAAATATGTATGTTTTCTTTGGACTGCCTTCTGGTTTCTAGCAATCCTCACCTTCTGGACCCCTGCCTGTTTTATTTTATATATTTATATTCTATTTAACTATATAATATGTATTTATAATATGTATTGTTTCCTGTTTTGATTTATATTTATACATATTTAAATGCATTCATCAAATTTCTATATTTATTAAATCACTTTTGACTATGATTACCGGTATTCTCGTTTTATTTATTTATTATAAGATAATTAGATCTGGGCAAAATATCCATGCCATTTCTGAGATGCGGCCCATGCCATTTCTGAGATGTGGCCCATGCATGGCCCAGATGCGGCCCATGCCATTTCTAAGATGTGGCCCATGCATGGCCCAGATGCGGCCCATGCCATTTCTGAGATGTGGCCCACATCTGGCCCAGTTGTGGCTGACTTCTAGTTGCCACACTCAGGTTGAGTCATCGCCGTCATTCCATGCGGTATGTGGGCCAGAAGAATGTGGAAGATGTGGGCCACAACTGGGCCAGATGTCATTTGCTATCTGGGAAGGCTTTGACATGGAGCGTCAGACGGCGGCCGTTCCAGCGCTTCTGCTGCTGTGCGTTCGGCTTTCTCCTGGTTGTGTGGATCGCACAGGTCCTGCAACTGACAGGTTAGGACAATCACAGACAAAACATGCATTAGTTTAACACGATCATCCATGCATTTTCATTTTTTTCTCTCTCATTTGTGTCTCTGCATCAATATGAAGAAGAGCCTATGAAGAGGAGCATGATTTATGCACACCGCAGAAATGAAATAGAGCAAATTATATTGTATTACTATAGCTATAACAGCTATACGATTTGTATGCTTTATACAGTTAAAGAATAGACTAATAATTTCACATTTGGTTTTCATTAAGCAGCACTTAGCTAGTATTTTAAATGTATTTTTTTGTCTGGCTTGTTCTGCCAGTAAAAAAACCCTCACATGTGTCACAGCACCACTGAAAGGTGGTTTCCCATGCTAAGCCCAATCACATACAGCTAACCTGTGATGAATGTTGGAGGAAGACAGAGACAGACCAATGTAAACTAACATACCTACATCGAATTATTTTGCTGCCTTACGGGTTCAGAAAGTTCCAAAAACAACCTGATCCTAGAGATTCACCTATCCAGGGCATTTGGTGTAAGTAATAGTTCCTATATAGTGCTATAGTGTTAGTACAGCTGCCGGTACTTAATGTTGGTGATGGTGACCCACGTCTAATTTAAAAAAACAATATTTCTAGAAATATGAAATGGCTTGAGTCCTTATCTCATGACAGTCATTTTAATTCTTATTTCTTAAAATGTTGTTCATTCCTTTGTGTAAAAACATGTATTATCAAAACCAATACTTGTTTTATAGTGCGTCTGATTCTCCTTTTAAAGTACCCAATAAAAACAGCATAGTTGTAAATTCATAGAACATATCAACCCCTGCTTTTCCAACCAAGCTTCTCTTTCATGACAGGTCAGTTGTGGCTCTGGGAACCTTGGAGGTGTCAGCTTTTTCTAGTATCAATTTCTTGAACCATTAAAACATAAATTAGCTTTTTATTTGAACTTATGCAAACATATTATTTGTGGGAGATGAGTTTGTAAACACAACATTAACATTAGAATCGAAGGCTGTATTGCAAGCAATTCAACTAAAATCAAAGAAAGCTTTATTCCTGGTCAGCTTGCTTTCATGATTCAAATCACTTAAATTGAACTTTATGATTGTTCGGTCGTATGAACTTGATTAACTGCAAGCAGTGGGCTAGGTTTGAGCTTAACTAGTTTTTTTTTAAAGGGGTCATATGACAAACTTGTACAATGGCTTGTTTATAATTGTATTGTCTTTGAAAAATGGTACTGTGTATTGTTGAATGTACTGATAAGCATTTATGCCTAACTAAATATTGCCATTTCTACTGAAACGTGTATGTCATGTAATGATGGAGGAGCAATTTAGTACATTTAACTTAAATTATCTTTAAATGTTATACTGAATAACACACTGCAGTTACAATTATAATCAAGTAGCCTACTTTACATTTGCTTTATTACTTTCTGCATCCAAATAAGTGTCACTTTCAGTCTACAGTAGTTTGTACAAGTTGGAAAAAAACAGTGTAATTTCAATAAGTGTACTTATATGATCGAATGATTTGACATTTCTTGAATGAAGCTGCAGGTTTATACCTACTGACAAACAAACCAAACCAGGACAACAAACTGTTCCAACTTGCAGTGGTAACATTGATCTTCGTGTGTGGCATCAGTTGTTTCATTTTTATGTTTTGTGATGACAGAGAGGAAGGTTCTGCAGCAGAGGCGCTGATTTTACCCATATATAGCATCACAAAATGAAAGCTGAAAAAATATGCCGTACACAAGAGAGCAGGAGAGACAGTCTGATAAGAAACAACTTAAATCATTTGGTGGGAGCAACTTTGCAGCAGTCTCTCTCAGAAGACTCAGCATAGAAGTCACTTGCATATGGATCAAATTTCATTGTTTTCTTTATCTTTAAGTTGTAAACATTCATTGACACCAACAGACCTGTTTCTGTCATGGGTGGTTGCAATGAATTGCACGAAGATTGAGTTTAACAAACAAAAAGTCTTTAATAGTAAATACATTAAGGAAAATGCTGGAGACTGCAAGGAAAAAAGCTTAGCAGAACAACCACATAAAACATAGACAATACCAAACCTATAAAAACACAGGGTAACGTCTCGGTTACGTATGGGAACGGAGACGCCACGTCGGGACCAACGAATAGAAATCTCGCTAGAGAGGCCAATCTACTTCGAGTGAAACTAAACGAGCCAATGCACATTGGCGTGCAATCACTTGCAACAGCTGCTCTGCCATGCATCGCGGCGGGTATATAATGGAGTGCTCTAAGCACCAGGGAAAGGTCCCAAGAGGGTATGGAGGGGGGTCGAGGAGGTCTCGCCCCCAGAGGGACCGTAGGCATTCCCACAGTAGGGCAGCGAGGTGGATGGCAGGGAGGCGGTTTGGGAGGCTCTCTCTGGGAGGTGGCCTGTAGCGGGGTCTTACCTGGTTCCACAGGGCAGAAAGCACAGGAGAAGGCTTGGTTGCGTTCTCGAACTGCATGCTGCTTACCGCTGGCGATAGAACAGGTGGATGAGAGTGGTGAGGATTCTCTCCTCCCACTGCTCTCCGGGCCCTCTTCAGACCCAGAGTTTTGAAGAAACTACTCTTTTATTTAAAATTTGGGTACCGCTGGTTTTGACGCCAGTGGCGGAACACAAACAAAAGGAAACATAAGATTAACCACCCGGCCCTCTTCCAGGGGAGGGAGCGGTGCGGTCACCATCTCCCAAAGAGCAGTCCCATCCATCTCCGGGTTGCCCGTCCTAGGGCCGCTTAGCTTTGGCTTTACCGCCCCTCTTGGCGGGGGCCGGGACGGGCAGGGCGGCCTGCCTGTTACTGGCTCCTCGGCGCCGGTTAGATGGAGAGTGCTGCTGCGTCGCGGAAGCGAGTGCTGACGCAGGAGGATGCCCTCGGCGACGAGTAGACTGAGGGGCCACAGGAGGTGGGGTGGAGGCAGCAGCTGACCGCCGCGGCAGGATGTGTTTTATCGCCTCAGTCTGCTTCTGTACAGCCGAGAACTGCTGGGCAAAGTTCTCGAACGCTTCGCCAAAAAGGGCGGTCTGGGACATGGGGGAGTTAAGAAACCTGACTTTGTCGGTCTCCCACATGTTGGCCAGACACAGCTAGAGATGGTGCTTCTGGACCACCATAGTGGATATCGCACGACCAAACGACCGTGCCGTCACCTTCGTCGCACGAAGCTTGAGGTCCGTCGCAGCACGAAGTTCCTGGAGAACTTGGGGATCATGACCACCCTCGTGCAGGTCCTTCAGTGCCTTGACCTGATGGACCTGCAACAACGCCAAGGCCTTGTCAGCCTTGCCGGTTAAGTCCGATGAGTGCTTACAGGCCTGGGAAGGGACTCCGCTCCTTTGCAGGAACGAGAGTCTCGACCGTAGCTCCGAGATGGTCATCTTCCCACAATGGGTACATAACTCATCCATGAACGCTGCGTCAGCGTTTTCAATGCCCAGACATGCGATGCAGCGCTCATGACCATCCCGCGATCCCAGGTAACGAGCGCATCCAGAAACACACAGGTAGAGTGACATCTTTAAAAAGACGCGCTCCATCCGTGAAAGCTCTTTCAGGGGACTGCTCTCCTTGGTGCTGAAGCACGCAGGTGAACGGTTGCAGCAAACACAGACAGGGAAGTGTGCAGCCTGTCGTGCGCTGTCTCTCTCACAGCGGTCTTACCAGCCGTAAGAACGGCTTTTCAGCGCTCTTGGCGCACTGTACCAGCTGTAAAAACAGCCTTTTTTTACAGCTAACCCTAAACTAACCCTAACAGCCTGGAAAGAGAGAGAGAAAGAGAATCAACCATGCTGCAACGCTGTATCGCCCACACCAGACACGAGAGGTCCTCCTGAAGAGCTGAAGTGCAATCGCACCTGCTGCTCATTATATACCCGCGCTACGTGGCAGAGCAGCTGTTACAAATGATTGCACGCCAATGTGCATTGGCTCATTTAGTTTCACTCAAAGTAGATTGGCCTCTCCAGGAAGATTCCTATCCGTCGGTCCCGACGTGGCGTCGAGTGACCGACTGAAGAGGAACTAATCAACAGAAACTAAAAAAGGTGCATAACATTATCAGGAACCATTGAAACTAACTAGGGCTACACGATATTTAAAATATATATATTCGGGGAAAAAAATTCTGCAATATATATTGATATAAGAAATAAATTTCACCAAATGACTTAAATAGCTCTATTTGGAAAAAAATGTAATTCTAACATCATTGGGGTGATTTTGGGGAGGAGTGAATCTGCATAGAAAATAATTCCAATTACAAATAATTACTAATTAAAAGCATAGATAAATACAATAGAGCAAAGATACAAATGAAAAAAACAGTACTTTATGTTTTTCAGGTAAGTCTAACAGTATTCAGGTACAGAAATTGAATAATAATATGTAAAATAATAATTGTTAAAGGGGATTAATGACACAGGAATATTAGGCTGCTTTCACTTTAAGACCGAATGCTCAAATCCAATATAATGATAAGCATCCGTAAGCCATAAGCGACTGTGTTTACGAGGATACTCACAGAGACGGGCATTTTGACATAATTATGTGCGTATGTGTTCATTCAAGCTCAAATAGATGTGGAAGAGAACTCGAAATTCGAAATTCTGTGTTTGCGTGCTATCTGTGTGTCCGCGTCTTCTTTATGACGAACGAATCGGATACAAATGCAAGTAAAAGTTGGTTTATTAGTTGGTCAGACAAGTCACAGGAAAAACACAGGTCGGGGACAAACACTCAGATGGAACTGTGACAACAGGGACGTCGATGGGCAAACCGGAGTCTTGTGGAGATGAAGACGGAGTGATCAACCAGGAACAATAAACAATCCAGACCGGGAACAACGACGAAGACCCACGAAGACTGGAACACACGAGGAGAAGCGAAGACCACACAGGAACAGGAACACGACACCGGGAAAGCCACAACGATCTGACAATGTGAGATGGGAATTACTGGGCATATAAAGCAACTGGTAAGG